CCTTTGTAAGACGTGTGTTCTGTCTAAGGTCGTACGTAATGACGCATTGTTCGTACAGAACTAAAAAAACACATATCTAAGGAGATAGACGAAAAACTAAACCGGTGCGACTTCACAGCAAGTAGTTCCTTGTCATGCACTAGTTAAATTACGCCCATCTGCTTTCAGCTAACGCATAGTAGACGATGCGCTCTGTTTCATCTGCATCGTACTGCATTAAAGCGCAGCCAATTGCACAATCGCTGGCGTCACAGACCACATGGAATGGTCTGTCTTGTTCTAAAATCACCATGACTAGGGAAGCTGTCAAGCTCTGCTTGATACCTTCAAAGAAACGCTGAACACCAGCATTCCACGACCACTTCTCATTATTATTTTTTAATGCAAGAGAGATAAATGGTCATGTCAACGTAGTCGCGCGATTACTTGTATAAGTACGCCGCTATATCAAGGAATCCTATAAGTCCTTTTGGGTCGACTGGCATAGGAATTGAATGATCTTTTTGATCGTTTCAGGACCAGGGCGTACGCTGTGTTTACCCACATTTCCCAAATAGTGGTTTTTCGCTAGCAGCAAATACACACCTCATGAGATTGTCATACATCTTATGTTTGCGCATGAGTGTAAGAAACTGACAAACGTGTGCTCTAGAACCTCTACATCCTTCTTTCAGACCATAGCCTAACTATGGACCATCAAATCGCTAAAGTAGCTCGGTGCGAAGTCTCGCACCGGTCTCAACAAATTTGTACCACATCCGCTGAATGTAGCAGGAGCGATGCTAAGCCCATGTGGTATTACTAGCCACTCCCAGAGCATTACTCTCAAGTTTCTCACTGCCTTGTACGAGATTTACTATTCACGCATTAGCATGTGATAGAAGCCATATAACAGATTTATGGACGAAGAGATTTCGTCCTTCGTCGGTATTGGCGTCTGAGCAGGTACCGTTGCAGCATCCAACTTGTTGAATGAGTGCACTATCCGCCATTCTCTTGTGTCCTTGCACACATATTAGGTCAGAGAGCTGTAAGGGGAAGTTGACTCCCTCACATGACCTACAGCCAAGCTATCGGAAAAGAGCTTATCGAGCGCACGTACTTAATCACGAGGCAGTAGCCACTGCTTCGTGACACAGTACTTGAAGGTTGGTTTGAGCTCGATTTCGCGTTCAGTGCCTCTATCCTTAGTCGATTCGCATAGTTTGGATTCGAGGAACACGTTCTTTAATACGATCAAATCCTCGTATAAAGGATTTGCCTGAAGTGACTCCCAATATTGAGACTTGTTTGATCAATCCGATTTCGTCCATCGATGATCTTCTATAAACCCGTTCCTTCTCGGCAAACAAAACTGTCGATCGAATTTCGATCACGTCCTCGTCCTCCGTGACGAGTACACAGATCTTCTTGACCTTGATACTACATAGATCTCGCAAGACCCGTTTCAATTCTATTGTTGGTAGTTTAGTGATTTTCGAAGTCAACCTCGGAGGCACGATCAGATCAAGTACATAAACACCTAGAATTGATTTGCCATAATCAAGACATTCAATGTCTCTGTTTCTTCCTGAATATCTATTTCCACAGATGGCTGACAAATTATTGCTCAGGCTGATGAGCCTTCGTTGTACCTCACCAAAGTTGCGTCAGGATTTTTCTCTCAAGTACGTGATAACATATCTTTATACGATGTCTTACAGATGTAGTTGCGCTCCACAACTAGGTACACTACGATCGACGCTCCAGCCGATCTAGTACCATCGTGTGACCCTGTGTGGGCAACTGGTTTTCTCTTATTTGAATGTCGCCCGACAGGCGCACACGATTTCCCCGATCTACTTGATTTCTTCAAGTGGTGGACCTTCGGCGCTGCTTGTGCATCCGCACATCCGCCGGCACCTTCCTCCACAGCATAATTGATTGTCACACTATATTTTGTGCATTCGTACTAACGACCGTACCTCCATCGCACTCACTCGCAGCACATCTAAACACACTTGTGGACGCTTTGAGGCGTTCATCAGATGGCTATTCGTTACAAAGGTGACAGGCATCTTCACGGTTTGATGCTGCCAGCTGAAACTTGGCTCGTAACTTCTTAGCCAATGTGGCCCTAGGATGACATCAAATTTGTCATCCAAATAAAGTGCGATAAAGTCATCATTGTGCTGCGAATCTTTTTAAGTGTAGTAAAATCTCACTACACGTTTCATCACTGCAATCGATGCGCCTCGCACAAGGCGCATAATCATACTCGTTATAAAAATATCGCGCTCAACAAGTTTGAACCTACGATCCTCCCGCGACCAGAGACGAACAAAGTTGTTCGACGTTCCATAGTCAACCAATACAAGAAGTGACAATCTTTTTGCCAAATCAAGGTAATGAGAAATACCTCATCACCAAGTACAGAGACACACAAAAATGGTGAGTCTGGAGAAATTTTCATCAGTAAATTTGCGAATTCTTTTTGAGATTAATGAATTTTTTAAGCTCTCCGACCCTACTGACCCGACCGTCATTTGGACGGTCCGCCACGCTGTTACAACTTCTCAGCAGCGTCGGATCGGCGTCTGTTGCCCTTCATGGCAGACAGTCGATCACTTCGCTCATTGTTTAGATATCTGGGTGTGAAACTCTACACTCGTAGGCGTAGTGCTCTAACTTTTAGCATCGATTGCACTTTTGTAATCGCTTACTGTTTAAAGAGATGTCTATGGCTACTGACACTGCAGAGGTTCATTGGTTCTGGACCTCTCGCCTCTGCTTACCTCGAAGACGATAGGGGGCCGAGCTACCGTGAGCCTGCCTCACATTAAGCCCTCTTGCACCGCAGTTGTTATCGCTTACTAGAGCGAAATTAACTGGACGCGAAACAGGTGGTTCCTTAAGGGACCGTGTGTAAGTCCCTGTAAGAATATTTTGATCAGAACGAAATCACTCACAGGGTTCTGTACCATGCAACTTGCAAGGTAACGTACGTGCTGTGCGTAAGTTTTAACGTTACACTTACCTTGTTATATCTTCAGGAGCTCTGAAAGAGCCCTGAAATCTCTTCTCGGTGACTGAAATGTTTGACTCAGCAAAGACTAAATGACCGCCAACGATCCAAACCAATTTAGATCGTGTAATTGAAGAATCAAAGCGCAAGTTCTTGCACGCCTTGTTAAATTCGATTTATCAAATGTAGCTTGTATATCCTCATCGTCGATGCGGCGAGCCTTAATGGCATCTTCCACTTCGAAAAACCATCTCAACAGGAAGGCTTCCTTGACTCCCCAGTACTTGTAGAATTAAAGTCTCTCGTCGGCACAGACGCGTCGACGCTGCAAAAGCAGAAGCAGACTGAGACTGTTACTGTCACAGGATATCAGTCTGCTGGTGACCTTGCTGATGCATCTGGATCACTTCAGCTCGCGACGCGTCAAGTTCTCGTTTCAAGAACATGGCAATCAAGGAACGCTTTTGATCACTATCCCTTGAAGATAGCAGAGATCAGACAGCTCTTCGCCAACGGTCGAACTCGTCGTTTGATTGCACTCGATTCAATATCTATTGACGAGAAGTCTCATGTGCGGTCCAGTTGAAGGTGTCGTTTCCTTCATCGTCCAGCGTGTTCATGTTGTACAGATCTTTGTGGTCCTTGGACGGACAAACAAGTGCTACTAGGTGTAGCGGGGAACCGGAGCAATACACTATACAATCAGTGTGGAGATTTTCTCACCGACATCAGCGTTCGTGGTGCCTCTCTACCTCTGTAACTCTGCATAGGAAGGGAAAGCAAATAGGAAACTGACTAGTTGCTAGTAAAGTAAAACTGCGTAAAAATGTTGTAAGTCTTAACTACATGTACCTATGTTTTAGTCTTAACTATATCATTTTTATCTACAAACGTGTGTGCTAAAGTCTTGCTGACCACTCATTGCGCGCGTCCATCATTAATTGGACAGCTAGAGCTGGCTAATATGATGGCCCATATCGGCCAATCGGTGAGTGTTTCTGAATATCACCTAATAGTAATATTTGCGAACATTAGCAACCTTAATGATAATATTTTTATTCACAAGCATCAAGGTTAACTCCATGTAACATGCTGCCCCGTTACATGTACGCTTTAAAAGTGTAGCGTGCTTTTTGAGAGCGTTTTCACGTCGACAAGGCCACAATCAATGAACTCGAATGGGTGTGCTTGATTGCCGCTCTCTCCTTCTGATATCATCATTTTCCAGCAAGTGCTACTTCCTCAAAGGTGAAAACAAATCAAGATAAGGCTAGATGCTTGAAGATTAGGATGGGGATCATCGTAATTAGATCGGGTGTACAGGTAAAGTCTGACTATCACGCGTGGATCGGTCAAAACAAAAATCAGTCTACCGACCCACGATCGACCGGTGCGTTTTGTCTTTCCCATCGGAAAATGATGCGTTTCCAGGTCTACCGGTTCAGTACCGGTATACCTCATCATATCTAGAAGATGCAATTCTGGGGAAGAGCTAGACCGGTCATAATGACATGCTGAAAGGCATTGTGAAAACTGCTGTCATATTGTTACCGGTAGAAACTAGCAGTAAACTTAACGCACTGCACACCGACACGATGATCTCGAAGTATTCTCAAAAGACTCTATTTGATTGAACAGGGTTTGCTTTTCTTGGGCTCATTTGCGGCGGTTTTGTGTATTTTTCAGCATACAAACATCAAGTCTTCCATCGCTCGATCGGTTTTTTTCCTCTCCCTTTTTCTTTCGCAGAGCCAAAAGAAGCGACAACCCCAACGAGCTCTACTTCACAAGGTGCAGCGCCATCGCCAGAGACTGACACAAGGCGGTGCGTACGTGGTCGATACAACTCTTGACGCCATGTGTTCTGCACTTTGTTTGTTTGCTTCGCTGAACAAGGACTTGGGATGCGACTGTTTTTTTGGCGTTTGTTTGCCCTGTTTTTTATGTTGTGTACAGGCGTTTTAAACAACTCACTCCCATCCCACTCGCGCTGAACATGTCGTACGCGTACTTGTTCAAATACATAATCATTGGCGACACAGGTACGCTGTTGTTTTTACCGTCGTTTTGGTTGTCATCGCTAGCGAAATGCGAAGGTTCTTTTGTATTAAACGCGTTTGAATCATCTGTTATTTTGACGTTTTAAACACAGGCGTGGGCAAGTCGTGTCTGCTGCTGCAGTTTACGGACAAGCGCTTCCAACCGGTGCACGACCTCACGATTGGCGTGGAGTTTGGCGCGCGCATGATTAACATTGAGAACAAGCAGATCAAGCTGCAGATCTGGGACACGGTGCGAATGTGTTTTATACAGTGTTTTAAACACGATCACTGGACGGTGCCGCTGCTTGTTTTTTTGTCGTGTGTTTTATACGCGTTTTGCTGCTGTTTTAACCGCTTCCTAGGCTGGACAAGAGTCGTTCCGCTCGATCACGCGGTCGTACTATCGTGGCGCAGCAGGAGCCCTGCTGGTCTATGACATTACGCGACGAGAAACGTTCAACCACTTGACGAGGTGGTTGGAAGAAGCACGTCAGAACTCGAACTCGAACATGGCGATCATGCTGATTGGCAACAAGAGCGACTTGGAGCACCGTCGCGCTGTGAGCTTTAAAGAGGGCGAGCAATTCGCCAAGGAGAATGGCCTCATTTTCCTCGAAACGTCTGCGAAGACTGCTGCTAACGTGGAAGACGTACGACGCGCATGGTTTTATTGACGCTCTTGTCGGCAGAATTGATTGATTGTGAGTGGGCGACTCATTTTGATTGAGGTGGTTTGCGTTGATCTCCACTTGCCAGGCGTTTGTCAAGACGGCGTCGAAGATCTACTCGAACATCCAGTCGGGCGTCTGCGATGTGACGAACGAGGTTTGTGGCGTTTGCTTGCGCTTTGGTGCTTGTAGAACTGAACTGACGCGATTTGATCCTGCGTGTTCTGTTGGCGTTGTGGTGTAGGCGCATGGCATTAAGATGGGAATGACTGGCTCGCCTGGCCCTGGCGGTTTCGGCAACTCGAACCCTCCGGCCAAAAGCGGCTGCTGCTAGAGGTAGGGAGGTGCCTCGTATGGAGCAGTGAAGACGTCCGCAAGATTCTCGAGAACGCTAATCAGCCACGTTTTAATACCACGTGCTTTCGTTTCCATGCTTCCTGACCGAATAGAACCACGCAAACGCTCGTCGTTGCTACATTGTTGTTACTGGAGCAGGAGTTGAGCATTCTAGACACCACGACTGCTGTCAGCGCTATCGGTTTGGTGTCGCTAATACGCGGAGACCGGTCAAATACACAGCATGTGTCCACCAGTGCTCTACCACGTACCTACGTCCGGCAAAGCATCGTGTACATGCAAGCGGAACTTCTGGCCATGTTTTAGGGCAATTTACACGGCAGACTATCAGCAGCTTGAGGCCTGCGGTGGTAAGTTACGAGGGACACGTCTCGTAACCTCAACATCGACCATTACAGCCTTGAGCCAAGTCTTCTTGACAATGTGGCAATCAAAATGATTACAACCACGTCTACGACTGTCACTATCGTCGGTTTGACGTTTGTACCAAAGTCTACCTGCGACAGGACGGACGTGTTCTGCCAAAACCCAATTGCAGGACTTGAACAACAATGGTGGCCAGACAAGTGTACAACCTATCGCCTTCTTTGAGTCACATGCTGGGCAAGAGGGAACTCACTCGTCCAGCTGCTATGAAGGAATTGTACGTCGTTGCTGTTTTTCAAGCTGTTTAGGGAGGAAAAGCTCAGTTGCTGTGTCCATGGTCCCATTGAAAAGCTCATTTGTTTTGGGTTGTGGCAGTTGGGCCTACGTGAAGCAGCACGAGCTGCAGGACCCTAAAGATGGACGGATAATCCATTCGAACCAAGAGATGAGAGGAGTGTTTCAGGTCGACCAGATTGGCTTGACCCAAGTCATGGGGCTCATATTCAAGCACCTGGAGAAAAAGCCTGAACAGCCAAACCAACTGTGACACCTCCGAGCTACAGACTCCAAAGGAAAGTTGCGACCGAGTCGACGAGAAGTACAGAGAGCTACTGTACAAAGATGGCGGGCTTCACCATGGATGTATGGATATTGGTGTCCCGGCCAATCCCGTGAATAGTTGGCTATATATTGGTACTGAGCACTCCATCCTCGTTCAAATAGGTCTCTGGACCTGACCGTCGAACGCCGTCTTCGTCATTGTCCGTCTGCTGCTGATACTCCGCAGAACTCGATGCAATATCACCTTCATTTACAACAGTGCGACATAGCTCTTCTTCTTCGACGAGCTGCATCTCATGGTTCACTGAAAGGCGCACCTCATCCAGCATGCAATCCATAAAGCGCTGGCTTTCCTCAGAAGACAAGCTTCGTCCACTAAGTAGATCGTCTGACGGCATGAGGTACTGCTGGTGTTGAGATGGCTGAAGCGAAGCAAGCGGCTGGTGTGCTGAGGATACCAACGAACCGCCGAGACCTTCAAGTGAAATTGCCTCAGTCGTCTTTGCTAGCGAAGTGAACACCAGCGGATTTGTCAGTGTTGATCGCTGCTTGACCTTCTGTGATCGCAGAGTGCGGCCGCAAAACTCGGTCGCAAAAAGCTCAAATGCCTCGGTAGAGATTTGCACCATGCGCTGCATGAAGTCATCTAACGCCTGTGAGTACTGCATGTTCTGCTTGCCAACGCCACGGCGCTCCTTATCCTTCACCTCTACCATGCTTTTCATCAACCCTTCAAACACAGGATGTGACTTAAAGCGTCCAAAGACGCCCATACGGGCAAAGCGCAACCAAAAGCGAACTTGTTCGAGTTGTTCGGCGCCAACTACACTATTGCCACCAGGTTCTCGAGTAGTCATGCGCTTGACGCATTGGTAGAGTCCACGAAAAGCCGAATTCTTTGACAATTTGCGCAAGAAGGGATCACTTTCAGTGTACACACTAGGCACATACTTGATATTTTCCAGTTTCTTGGGCACCTTAGAGCGGCTAAGCACACTGCGGAAGTTTGGCACGGTACGCAGATCCTGACAGGCACGGCATGCGCCTTTGTGGTTGCGACTACAAGCACGGTCATTGTTTTCGAAAACTGGCACAAACCGTTTGCAACGCATACTCCGAACGCAACGACCCTCCTTATCCACTCGCCAAAGACACTCGCTGAACACAGCATCCTGCAATAGCAGCCGCTGCTCGTCGTTCAACTTTTCGATGATGCGAACCTTCTTGTCATTCACGAAAATCTGTGGAAAAAGCTCGCGTGCAATCACATAACGAGGTCGGCTTCCGCCAATTATTTGTACAGCATTAGCAACGTATGCCTGTACGCTTTCATCACGAAGTCCTGTGCACGGTACATGGTCGCTCGGCATCACTTCACCGTCTGCCGTGCAAGTGTCCTCAGGCGTTGTCCCTAGCTCTGAAAGAAATGTAACGGCGCTGGAATTGCCCTCTACCTGCTCGTCCTCATCGGTCTCTTTGCACTCAAGCGCTGCATCCTCATGGCTCTGACTGTTTGCACGTGTGAGCGCTTCTAGATCCGTGCTTGTACTTGTTTTATTCATACAAATGTCATCTTGGCACAACGGCTCCTTACGAGCGTGCTCAGTCGCCGACAAATGATATGACGAGGATGAAACCATCGGCTCCGTCACTACTGGTGGCATGGTTGCGACCGCTTTCTCCCCATAGCCAGGATGATTGACACCGTTTCCATAGGCTTGTGTCGCCGAAGATGACGGGAGCGTACTCAAGTCAACGTCTGCAATATCACCGATAGATAAATGAGGCACTCCAAGATCAACAGTGGACGGGTCCATCAGGTGCACAAAGCCTTCATCACTTGTCACGGATGCAGCACTTGACAGAGTCCCGACACCGTCGTAAAGAGGGCCACTTGTCTGCTGATCTCCTTGATCTGGTCTCAAGCCATCACTGCTTGTCTGAGGTTGCGTGTTTTGCCCACTAGAAAGTAGTGGTCTCGGCGTAATGACCAAGGAGTGTCGTAGTTTGCGTCCTCCCAAGTGTTTCTGGAAGAGCTCACAAGCTTCGGGCGATACATCGGCAAGCGAGCGCATAAACGTGTCAAGCGGATAATTGTACGTCATGTTCTGCAATCCTACGCCCCGCCTTTCCTTATCCTTTAACCGCACCATAGCATCGGTTAGACCGAGCAGTGCTGGATGCGTGTCAAAGTCGCCTGAGAGACCCATTACAGCCATTTCCATCCATGTGTTTAATGCACCAGGAATGTCAGCGAGAGCCAAGTCACGAAGTGCTCGAGCGAAAGGCTCTTCCATGTCGAACTCGGCTTCAAGCAGGGAGCACACACGCCCGGAGCAGTACTTACGATTTATCGGGTTACGAGGTAAGCCCGAGCGCATCGCTTTGTTGTATTTGGTCGCGGCTGCTGCTCTCAGTGCTGCATTGCTGACAAGCAAAGTGCAATAAATGCACCGGCTAGCACCTTTGGCCGAGTCAATAATGCCAAGACAATCCAGACTACGCACCGAGTTACCATCTTTATCCACAAACCAAAGTGCCTCACCCTCAATCACGTCATGCAACAGCAGTTTTTCGGCCTCAAGAAGCTCCTGCTGGAGCCTGGGCTGTCGCTTTTTGCAGGAGCGTTGGCTGCTTGGATGGTCCATCTCAACGCCATGATCAACAGAAGGATTGTCGCTCTCGAGGCTATCAGAAAAAAGATGTGGAAAGAGTTCGCGAGCAATTATCTGTCGATGTCGTGCACCTCCCGTGAGCTGATTCGCAAATGTCACAAACATGTTCATGCGCTCGTCCCTCAGTCCAGGGCATGGGAACAAACCACGTGATCGGGCGACATCCCATCGAATTTCGCGCGGAAATTTTTTCTTTGCCATATGCGCTTGCAACAATGCAGATGCAGTTGTAGGTGGTCTCATCAACCCACTAGACAAACTTGCGTGTCTTTCCTCAACTGATGTCGATACATCAGACACCATTACCCTCTTCTTCTTCCAGTCAGCCCTTGTAACTACATCAGAAGCACTTTTCAATCGTTTCCTGGGTTTCTGCTTGTCCGCCACATGTATCAAAAACTGACTAGGCTGCCAGGGTGCACTAAGTAAGACAATGCGCGAGCACTTGCACTCAGCGAAACGTCCGTCCGGTGTAATGCGCTTGAACTGGGCAATGTCACGCAGTACCATAGCTCCTTTAAACATGCGCACACGATCATGCGACGCCGTCTCGGACGGCGGCACAATCTTCCGCTGGCCATACGTCTCGACTCCAAACACCCGCTCAAGAATTGCGTCCAAAGACTGCAACGAGTACTCATCCACATGTACACCTCCAGTGTCATCTTCATTGTTTCCGTCTCCAGCCATCGTTTCCACCAGCTCTCGGCCAGCACTTCCACGTTCCTCGAGAGTCTGTCTCGACCCTTTTCTTCCAGCCTGGCGTCCTGTCTCCACCCGTTTCTTTTTCTCTCCATCTTGATGGCGTAAGAACGTGCAATTGCGACTTGCAACGTGCTGCTCAAACTTGAGAATGTACCACGGCGGGTTCAGGCGCACGTTGCGTCCACACTTACAGCTCACGTTGCGTCCGTCAGACGTCACCGAGACCACTACCGGGTGTCTCTGCAGCACGCGAATCTTGTCTTCTCGTCTCGAGTAGTGCACCAAGCCGTTCTGCAGCTTCTCATAGGCGCTAAGCGACGTCTTCACTTGCTCTTGAGCTCCGTCTGGCGTCGTCAGACCTTGCACCGGATCCAGCGCCGCGCTCCTGTCAATGCAGCTCATCGTCGTGTCAGTACAAGAGCCATCCGTGTTGAGGTGTAGCGCCTTGGGAGCGGACGACGACGGAGCTGCAGTCGTGTCCATGCGTGTCAATTAAAGTGGACTGAAAATCGCGATAGAGTAGATAGAGCGCTTGGCCTTTTTTTAGCGCAGACTGGAGAAGGAATAGAGTGCGCTAAACTGGCCAGTGTTTGCTCCTGGATGCTGGAATAGACTCAGTATCGAATCGAAAGTGAAGCAGAGATAAAGCGGGAAGCAGAGTCAAGTTTGTGTGTGTTTGAGTCGGTTTTCAGGTAAAGGCTCGTGTTGAATCTAAAGTTGTGATTGCACTCGACGCTGTGTAGTTTAGTGTTTGCTGCTGCTTTAGCACCTTCCTCGTACTGCTGGAATCAGGGTTCTGACGCATGCCACCTTGGAAACGAGTGCGTTCAGAGAATGCAGAGAGCAAGCAAATCGTACATTTTGCTACGGTGGGCTGCATCACATCAGCTTGGCTGTGATTGAAAGAGACAGAGCTCTAGCAAGGTTTTACAGGAACTGCATTCCGTTCACGATACCGCAAACGACGATATGCGTAGCTCATTGACTAGAGCGGGGAGGTTATCTCCACTTCAAAGGTTGACGAAGCAACGGAATGAGCCAAATGTGACCGAATGAGCTCGTCACGGTCGCACTGCAATGCGTTTCACAAAAGATGAAGAATCGACGAGTCTTTTGGCAGGATGTGGTTGTCTTCTGCGAGAGGTTCATTGCAGAAAATAGCTAGAAAAGGGCTTTCTCGAGCAGCAATAGCTGGAATCGATGCCACTGCAGCAGTGTGTGGCAATATTCAAGGATGTGTAAACTTTACAAAAAGAGGCCTCGTACTGCGCTGTGAATATTTGCCCACGCTACTGTTGTATATTTGCGTACAAGTTGAATGGAGCAAGTGCACATGGTCATACTGATAACATGAGCCAGGCTGCACTGGAAGGTTGAACTCAGTGTCGCTCATGACGCGGCAATATAAACGGAGCCACGCCGTAGACTCGTCGGACGTTTTACTCTTTTACTGGATAGCACCCTTGTCTCTTTTGCTGCTTGATCAAACCAAGAACAGGGATTTGACGGGGTGATTGAAGCGAGCACGCGATCCCTTCATGGAGTAGACTACAGTAGCAGACAATCGTCTTAGCTGTCCACCGCGCTGGTTCGTGCTCAACGCAATTTAGTTGATGATCGTCATGTAGCTCCGGCTGAAAGAGTACGGACCGCATCTCACCGTCGTGGTCGTCGTGTTCATCGGATGGGTTGCAGGCGCTCTATGGCTTATTAATGTTGGGGTGTTCGAGAGATGCGTAGCCAAGATGGGGAAACAACGCAGCTCAAAAAGGACAAGATGAGGCAGCAATAGTCGCCATTGACGCCTCATTGAATCCCCACCAACAGACAACTGTCAGAGGGGCTATTTGCTCAGTGTAAAAGCCTCGAATAAGTGAGCTATTCGAGTGTCCTAAACGCATGAGCTCCTCGACGAGTGCGTCGATGCTACAATAGCATTCCGATCGACGTCGCGTCCAAGTTCGTTGTCGACACCACGCACTTTCTTCCTTACTGTCAGTATAGTGGAACTGTAAGGGCTCTCTAGCACTAATTTGTTGTAAAGTGATCATCACGAGCTCGTGGGTCACATGCAGACTTTTCTCCAACTTACCGCATCAAGCGCTGAACGTAGTAGTGTATCCAGCGCGGGCTGTTTCAACAAATGTTACATGCTGCCGACCGTCGACGGTTCATTGCCACCCTTGCGAAAGTCCCTCGATGCCTTCAAATGACCTCATGGAAAGAAGCCACATCCGTGGACTCAATCCAAAGGATCAGTGACGGACATCCCACGTGATCCTCTCGTGAACAGTTGTCGACGTAAAGCCGGTTTCTAATGTCCAGGCCACGTGACAAACAGCGTTGAAGACAACTAGATGAAGCTCCGTGACAAAACCCAAATCGTTTCACTAAGCCTGTCCTGGCGACTGTAAATCATCGACCATGCGTTTCCATCTTATAACGAGTGATCTGCGGATTTCTAGAGGGAGCTCTCACCCTCCCGGTCACCCATGTCATCGATCCAAGTTGTCGCTGGAACTTGCTCTCTCGACTGCACACGATGAAAACGGCAACAACTTCGTTCTAGCGAACATTGAAACGAACGGCGCCCTCTCGAGGCTGTCGTGTCTCGCATTTCTCCCGTTACTTTGCTCTTTCACGTGCACGGACTTTCGTCTTCTCCCGTACGTGGCTGCGTTCGTGGTTCTCTTCCCGCACCATACAGAACTTTTCAATTCGTCGTGCATGTTGAACATGAACGAATCACGTCGTCGGGCATCCCAGCCCCTCGTCACGCCACCCCCGCGACTGAACTTGCAAACCCTCCACAAGTCGTCGAGCTTTCTGCTTGCAAAGCTCAACGTCTTCCGACCTCGTGCGAAACGAGCAGCGAATGACGCAGGCAGTCAATGGGAAGCTCAACGGGACAGCAACATGAACCCGATTCGGCGGGTGAGTGTAGTCTCCCGATCGTGTGACGCCAAAGATGCCGAGAAAGACCCCAATGTGACTAAGGTCTCGGCGATTCCAACGATACATCGAGAGCAAAGCGATAAGGTGCATCGTTGGAGTGACATCAATACTGGAGATGAGACCGACGAGGCCGAAACGTCTTCAAGCGAGAAGTCCTCCATGTGTCTCTGGAAGCAACTTGCCCCGACCACGAAGAGCGAAGCCAACCAGGTCACCGTCATGTACTCCATCTCGTTTTACCCGTGGAAGATGGAACCCCATTGTTATTATTCGCATCCAGAAGCTGCGGCAAATTGGGTCCCCGACACGGCCAGTGCCCGCTGTCAAACCTGTCTCGCAGCGTTCACCCTTACACGTCGACGACACCACTGCAGGCTGTGCGGACACCTTGTGTGCGCCAACTGCTCGCACGATCGAACGTATTTGCCATTCACTGGCTCAGCTCCAAGTCAGCACCGACTTATCAAAGATGGCGCACCTCAGCGCACGTGCAGCTCTTGTGCCAGTACGCTACACAATATGGCTGCACAAGACGATTCACGAGTTAAGCGCTTCACCATTGCTGTCTCCTCAGCAAGACAACGCACACCTGTTGCATCGGCTTTGTCGATCTCTTCAGCCCGGTCAGCGGTTGCGGTAGACGTCGAGCGTCCGTCCCCGTGGTTAAGACGCACTGGTCTGGCTTTCACTGACAGCGACGTCAAGGATGAAGATGTTTTCACCGGGTCGACGACAGCGTTGCAACTCAATCGAGGTTCTCACAGACCTTCGCACCACTGTCCAGTTCGGCTTTCAGCCATTCGGGCAGGCGAACTGGATGATATCCTGAGTGCGCAAATAGGTTCTCACGCGCTCTCTACAGCAGTAGATCGTCGTGGCAATTCAAGTATCCGACAATTCGTCATCAGCTCGGCGTGGCTTCACCAGTGGTTACGGTATGTCCGTGTGAATCCCAATACTGCTGAAGGGGATGCAGCAACCACATCGTCGACGCAACAAGCGTCGTACGAGAACTACCGAAATAAGGCGCAGCGTCATAAGTCGACTGTCAAGTGCCGACTAGCAAGAGCTCCTCGACCGGGGCACGTGGCGAATTACATTCTCTTGGACTTTGTGAACGGGGAGTTGGTGCCGAAGCCCAACCTGCAACGAAGCCGAGGAAGTCATGTCGGAGGAGACTATCGAGTGGTTAGTCAGGAAGTTTGGACCGCCTTCTTGGGTCTTTATGGTGGTGGACCGAGCATTCAAGTGTCTCTTAGCAATGATGCTGCTATTGGCACAATGGCACCTAAACTCGACCAACCTCGGCCGTCAGCACGCCCCGCATGGACCATTTCTGAGCTCGACAACTCGTTCTCAGCTCTGGCAGCGTCTTCACCCATTGACAACTGCTTGTCGACATTAAGGGAGAGCGCAACGCAAAGACGTGAAAAGGAAGTCATGCTTCAAAGTGTTCAAAACACTTCGACGAGATCGATGGCAAGACGCCACTCTGCTCATGGAAAGCACTTGGTCTCAGCCGCTTCGATCTCGACGCACGTGGTACGACAACGGGGTGTCACTCGAAATCTTCGGTCAAGCTTACCCTGTCAAGGGCTTGCCAGACCAGGTGTAGGCGACAAGTGATCGATCGAGCATCGAAATGATCGAAGAGCACCTTCAAGGACTTGGTTGTTCGAGGACTACAGTATTGACGACGCTACATCAGCTGCAGTGTCGACACTTGCCAATGCTGCCACGTTGGTATGTCAGCACTCAGCAAAGTCCTCTCTTGCTACTCTCCTTGAAACAGACGATCATCGATGGTAGGAAAAAAACGTAGTGCTAAGTTTCTGGCTCCAGTGAGAAGTCGAAACGGTTGTAAGCAGGTGATCGGATGGATCATCCCGACGCTTTACTGCAGCTATGAATATCTGCTTGTCCAACCTGTTTATCCCGGTCGTAAGCGTTTGTTTCGTTCGATTTCAGGTCGTCATGTTGGGCAAAGCTATCCCTTATCTCGAAAAGATGCTCTGTACTGAGAGCACTTTCGACCAAGAAGCTTTGGAGAAGGAAACCTCAGCAAACATTGGCTCTACAGGAGCAAAAGTCGATTGCACTTTCATGCTTGACGCAACAAGATCAAACCGCTGAAGGTTTGGTAAAAGGCAGTGCCCCCTATCGAGTGTCTCAGGCGTGAGATCTTGTGCCGATAAAGGAGTCTCAGCTACTCTCCACCCTCACGACCGAGGTAGATGGAGATGTCTCACGTCGAGCCTTTTGACACCATCGTTCAGTCCTCATGCATCGTTAACAATGAATAAGCTGAACCATTTGCCTACATCACAATCGACAGTTTGCCGTCCAGCGGACACAACTTCGACAGGCAACGCGTGGCTCTGAGTACTTTGATTTTGTCTTGAAGACACTGGGAATGCACGTATCGCGTAACCGCTCGCTAGAGCTCATCAGGACTGAGCTTTGCTCCCTGATACCGATGCTCGCTCATTCCAGGACCAGGCTGAGCGGAGTTCACGTCTTTTGCAAGTCAAGAGTACAATTGTCCTAGGTCTTGCAACACGTTGCCGGTTTTACCCGCTTCACTCCCATATTATCGAATGCATATTACCATGTCCTTGACTATTCCACTGCTAACGAGCTTCGCACAAGCCTCCAGCAGCACATGAAGAGGTTGACACGTGGGCGGACAACGCCAAGTGACAGTAAATTAAGTTTATCGACGTCAACTACGAGGTTGTATGTGAGTGTTTAACGTCGACCACTGAAGGTGCTCATCGATTCATCGTTTGATACTACATTTTTGTCCGCCGGCGAACGTGGTGATTCTGACTTTCGCGACAGGGTGGCGTGTCCCTGTGGCGGTGACTATACACGATGGTGTATAGGTCGATGATCGCAGGATGAGCTTACAAGGGCATCGAGCTCTTTCGTGCCATTCATGCAGATAGGGAGAGAGTCCTGTCAAGTAAGATGCAATACTTGTGACCTAAAAACGGATTGCAGCGATTCGAGCTTTTAGAAGGAACCAATCGCAGCACCGACGGAATTGTCACTAAGGCTGCACTTGATAGCTTAATCATTGGCAACGCTCGCTCCGGTCATTCGCGGAAGACGCGACAAATATGCGTCGACTGGACTGTAGCGCCCGGTTTCCGACATTCGTTGCCGTGAGCCTTAAACCCTGCCATTGAACGAATAAGACTCGTAGACGCAATGTATCGACGAGACAGCGCACATTATCGTTTGCTTGGTGTGTGGCGACTTGCATCAGATGTATAATGACGTACGATCGACACTAGAAAGTATGCGCACGTATGGACACTGGAACGGCCGGGTCACTTATGCCATCCTTCCGCCATAGACAATGATGTTGATATGCAAAGAGCATCTACATCGGTAGCGAAGGCAAGAAGCAAACGACACATCTGGTAGAATATTGAATGGTGTAGCTGCAGGCGAGCGTGCCATGCCATTATAAATCCAAGCCGTCGAGCCAGCGTCTACTTTTCTACTCAGCGCCTGTTCTGTTGAACTGTAAAGTCCGCATTATGTTACTAGAAGAGGTCACGAACTGGCCGCAAGTCTCGTAGATTGCGCGAGCGCAATTCTGAGTCTTTCCTGATGAGCATAGGCGGCGATGACAATGAGCCTAACTTTGGGCAAGCTGTGACAGAACATGCTAACACCTTGATACTTGTGGCAGCGCTGTGGCATTTGCAAATTCACTCAAAGTTCTTGTTCTTCAAACAAGTAGCAGCAGACGAGCTTTGCACAGTTGCGGATTGATCAATAAGTATCAAGGAGGCACGGTTGTTGACGACAGAGTCGCACCGATCCGAAGAACTCGCGTCTTGCGATCATTTGCCTGGAGTCATTGTACGAGAAGTGGAGCGGTAAGGAATCAGTTAGAGTCGAGTTTAACGTCATATTGGAGCCAGACGATATCGTACAGCTTGTCAATGTAAAGAAAAAGACGATTGGCCGCCTGCTTCAGTATCGATAAAAGAGAGGAACATGTCGCAACACAAAGCGAAGTATTTTTTTTAAAACTCCTGCAGCAATTGATCATCAACGTTTTCACGCGGAGATAATTTCAAAAACTGTTTTATGGTTTTCCAATTTATTTGGTGATCGCAAAAGGTTTATTCATGAGACTTACAGTTTCTGTGACCACTTTCCTTTCAAAGTGCATTTTTGGCAAGTGAAATCCCTCTCTGATTCTGGAATTGGAAAAATCTTAATCATACCGCGATCTACGCAAAATAACAACGAAAGGGTAACAAGCAGAAGCTCCTCTGAGAGAAATCATCAGAGAATGGAGCCACAAACCGAAACCACCACTTTTTGATCCGATTCGATTCGTTTCGATCCGACCCACTGCGTCTCAGTCTTCCACTCAGTCGCTCTTTTTACCCATTTTGCCACACGTCGCAGACATGACAGCTTGCCGTCCAGCGGACACAACTTCGACAGGCAACGCGTGGCTCTGAGTACTTTGATTTTGTCTTGAAGACACTGGGAATGCACGTATCGCGTAACCGCTCGCTAGAGCTCATCAGGACTGAGCTTTGCTCCCTGATACCGATACTCGCTCATTCCAGGACTAGACTGAGCGGAGTTCACGTCTTTTGCAAGTCAAGAGCGGAATTGTCCTAGGTCTTGCAACACGTTGCCGGTTTTACCCGCTTCACTCCCATATTATCGAATGCATCTCACCATGTCCTTGACTATTCCGCTGCTAACGGGCTTCATACACGCCGATAGCGGCACATGAAGAGGTTGACACGTGAGCGGACAACGCCAAGTGACAGTAAATTAAGTTTTACCACGTCAACTACGTGGTTGTATGTGAGTGTTTAACGTCGACCACTGAAGGTGCTCATCGATTCATCGTTTGATACTACATTTTTGTCTGCCGGTGAACGTGGTGATTCTGACTTTCGCGACAGGGTGGCGTGTCCTTGTGGCGGTGACTATACACGATGGTGTACAGGTCGATGATCGCAGGATGAGCTCACAAGGGCATCGAGCTCTTTCGTGCCATTTCATGCAGATAGGGAGAGAGTCCTGTCAAGTGAGATGCAATACTTGTGACCTAAAAACGGATTGCAGCGATTCGAGCTTCTAGAAGGGATCAATCGCAGCAACCGACGGAATTGTCACTAAGGCTGCACTTGATAGCTTAATCATTGGCAACGCTCGCTCCGGTCATTCGCGGAAGACGCGACAAATATGCGTCGACTAGACCGTAGCGCCCGGTTTCTGACATTCGTTGCCGTGAGCCTTATACCCTGCCATTGAACGAATGGGACTCACAGACGTAATGTATCGATGAGACAGAGCACATCATCGCTCGCTTGTTGTGTGGCGACTTGCATCGAGTGTAAAATCACGTACGATCGACGCTACAAAGTATGCGCACATGTAGACACTGGTACGGCAGGCACAGACAATGTTGTTCATATGCAAAGAGCATCTACATCGGTAGCGAAGGCAAGAAGCAAACGACACATCTGGTAGAATATTAAATGGTATAGCTGCCATACGCCATGCCATTATCAACAGAAGCCGACGAGCCAGCGTCTACATATCTACTCAGCGCCTGTTCTGTTGACTTGTAAAGCCCGCATTGTGTTACTAGAAGAGGTCACAAACTGGCCGCAAGTCTCGTAGATTGCGCGAGCGCAATTCTGAGTCTTCCCTGATGAGCGTAGGCGGCGATGACAATGAGCCTAACTTTGGGCAAGCTGTGACCGAACATGCTAACACCTTGATACATGTGGTAGCGCTGTGGCATTTGCGAAGTTCACTCAAAGCTCTTGCCCTTCAAACAAGTAGCAGCAGACGAGCTTCACACAATTGCGGATTGGTCAAAAAGTATCAAGGAAGCGCGGTTGTTGACGACGAGTCGCACCGATCCGAAGAACTTGCGTCTTGCGATCATTTGCCTGGAGTCATTGTACGAGAAGTGGAGCGGTAAGGAATCAGTTAGAGTCGAGTTTAACGTCATGTTGGAGCCTGACGAGCGTACAGCTTGTCAATGTAAAGAAAAAGACGATTGGCCGCCTGCTTCAGTATCGATAAAAAAAAGAGGAACATGTCGCAACACAAAGCAAAGTATTTTTTTTCAATAACTCCTGCAGCAATTGATCATCGACGTTTTCACGCGAAAATAATTTCAAGAATTGTTTTGATGGTTTTCCAATTTATCTGGTAATCGCAAAAAAGGTTTATTCATGAGACTTACAATTTCTGTGACCACTTTCCTTTCAAAGTGCATATTTGGCAAGCGAAGTCCCTCTCTGATTCTGGAATTAGAAAAATCTCAATCACACCGCGATCTACGCAAAATAGCAACGAAAGGGTAAAAAGTAGAAGCTCCTCAGAGAAAAATCATCAGAGAATGGAGCCACAAACCGAAACCACCACTTTTTGATCCGATTCGATTCGTTTCGATCCGACCCACTGCGTCTCAGTCTTCCATTCAGTCGCTCTTTTTACCCATTTTGCCACACGTCGCAGACATGGAAAACTACCACATTTATAACGAGATTGGTCGTGGCACGCACTCGAGTGTGTACAAAGCACGACGGAAACGCAGCATCGAGTACGTGGCGATCAAGTCCACAGCCAAAAGCCGCAGGGACAAGGTGCGGGGTCAAGTGCCTTTTTTTGTCACGCTACGTGAGACAAGTTGACAACTTCAACGATACGAGTGCTCACCCGTCGACGAGTGTGATTGGCTGGTGTAGATCCTGAATGAAGTCCCGTTTCTGCACAAACTAGACAGTCCCCACGTGCTCAAGTTCCTCGACTGGTACGAGTCGTCCAACCACATTTGGCTCATTCTCGAGTACTGCGTGGGCGGTGACTTGCTCAATCTCCTTACGCAGGACAAGCAGCTGCCCGAGTCAGTTGTCAAGGTGGAGTGATGCAAGGACTGGTGTTGACTGCCAGGACAGAGACCTTTTGTAGTGGTCGTGGATGATCGATGGCAAAGATGACGTTCTGACTGCTGCTCTCGTAGTCCTTTGGCTTTGAGCTTGTAGCTGGACTGCAATATCTGCACGCCAACAGCATTTTGTACTGTGACTTGAAGCCTGGAAATGTGCTTATTGACGAATTTGGATCGCTGAAGGTGCGTTAATGATTGTGAAATGGTTTGACGCGGCACAACGACTTGATGTTGTTAATTTTGCTGTTGATTCTGCTGTGATTGAACGTTAGCTGGCAGATTTCGGCCTTGCACGACGTATTCCTGGAAGCGGTACGCCACCTGCACGGCCAGTAAGCGAAATGATCGTTGCTCGTGGATACTCTCGTCGATGAGGTCTTAATGGGATTTTACGCGCTTTTTCGTGTAGCTCGCACCAGGCTCGCCACACTATATGGCACCGGAGTTATTCCAGCAGACGGCAGTACACAGTTTTGCGTCGGATTTTTGGGCTTTGGTACGCGTCGACTTGTGGTGCTGACATAAGAAGTCAGGCTATTGAAGAAGCACGGAAGTAATGGTCAATGTAGGGATGTGTGCTTTATGAACTCAGAACAGGTCGACAGCCGTTCATACATACTACTTTTTCCGAGCTTGCCCGAATGGTGCGTAACTAACTAACGCTGAGTTTTGGAGAGGAGCATTGATTTTTTGCTGATTGAAGATAACATGTGCGGCCGAGACAGATTCAAACAGAAGCAATGCAACTTCCTCTTTCCGATTGTGGAATGTCGCTTGAGTTTTGCGATCTCCTAAGGCGATTGCTAGAAAAAGACCCTTATCAGCGTATTACCTGGTACGTCTCCGATGTGTCCAAGTTAAGCTGTTCACCAGGAAATGTATCTGACAAGACGGTTTTGCTAGGGATGAGCTAGTAGTTCATCCATTTTGGGATGGTCTGCCTCGTCTCGCCAATGTTGATATGCCTCCGCAGACGATATTTGATAAAGGGTCTTCATTGTCGCTGGAAGTAAGTCCTGCTATCGAAGTATTTGCTCATTGTACTTCCGACGTTAGCTGGCGAACCGACCATCACTTTATATGCGACAGGGATGATGATTGTGAAAACGCGTGGTCAGCCAATAGAAGTGACACTGATCTCGACGGTGCTTATGATAAAGACAGTTCAGATATTTTCGATCGCTCGAGAGCAAAGATGAACCACCGGATGAGGGCGAGGCAGTAACCGCCGACGATGAAATCGACTCCATAAGTCATGGGTTGCCTGATCCATTTCGGGTGATGCAAGACCATGTTATAATGAGTGCAGTCAACAATGAAGTCCGAGCGCCTAATTTGGAAACGCACGATTTGCCAAACAACGATGTAGATCCTGACGACGATACCTATGATGACCAAGCTGACCAAGGCAGCTCCGGCAAATTGACTGGTCGCCGACCCCTCGGTGCCAACGACCTACGATGCCTCAAGCTGCACCTGCTGCTTCCCGTCCTGTTCGAGGACAACGGACACGAGGACATCAAATTCAGCTGAGCGGTCTATTCGACCAAAGTGGTGCATCAGGAAGCTGGCTACAGAAAATTTCAGCACTCGTGTTCACCACCAAAGATTGTGGCGTGAGATCTATCATTGGAACATGCGGATACCGAGCTCAACGACCCACCTCCACTTTGATGCCAAAATTCTTCGTTTTGCAGTCAACTCACTGGAAGTCTTATCATCATATACAGCGGAGGCATTGCAGAATCATCTGGCAGAAGTCTACACCAGTCTTAGCTCGTGCGATGGTAGTTCTTCAGAGATGCTCAGCTGCATGACGTATTTATACACATTGAGCGGACATACCCGTCTTGCCGACGCGATTGTAAAGAGCTCGATCCTTGGGCTTCTGATTCGGATGTCGGCGCAAGAAGTGCAGCTTGCCACATCGAGCGAGACGATGTTATCGATGCTTTGCCTCGTGCTTGGTCATCTGTTTCGATCCACGACTGCCATTGCGCTATCGCCGCCCGATCAGTTACGGCAACTGGTAAAAACCTTGCTGACAATTGTTGCTGATCTCCCCATTCGAGCGAAAGACAAAGAAGACTACCAGCAAGAATGAGTCACAGTCTCGTTCAAGAGCATTTGCCTGCCTTGGAGAATTGTTATTGTGTATGTTGACAACGAGAAAGTGGGAACTACCAATGGACGGAATGGAAGCTGTACATATCGGTATCGATGACCCGGATCTTGCAACCCGCTACTACGCGACAAGAACACTTTGCAACATGCTAGCTTATGCGACAGAATCTTTGCTCCCAAGACTGATGCGTGGCAAAGTAGTGCTGGCTCTCATTCGCGGATTATTGCAAATGGGACGCTCCAGTATTTGATGATCAAGGCGATACACATGAACAAAGGATGCTCGTTGCGTTACAGGCTACTACAGTCGAAACTCTTGCTAAAGTTCTACGACACGTCTGCACTCCATCTTCAAGCGCATGCCTGCCATCCCGCTTGAAACGGTCGATAAAGCTGTATTTCGCTAAACCCGATGTTCTGAACGCTGTGTGGCAAGGTGTAGAAAGCCCGCGTGGATCGTCCGACTTGGTACTTGCTTCGCTTAACATTGTTAACGCTTTCTTAGCAATGGAGTTGGACAGAGATCGAGAAGCCGAATACGCAGCAATCCAATCGAGTCGTGCATTGTTGTTGGGACGTATTGTAGCAATTTCTACAATCCAAAACGTTATGGGACGATGGATGGCCTAACAGCTGAGAAAGGTGAAGAGGGCAAGTGCCTAGCCATGTTGCAAGCAAAGTGTCTGATCTTGCTGCACTTGGGCATACAGCAAAACCAAGATTTCCTTACCTCATTTGTACAAAAAGACGGTTTGGTGCTTGTGGAGGAGACCTTAGGCACGATTGCTGAGCTGTTGAACGCTGGTCACAGTCTTCTCCTTTCGGAGTCTCTAGAAAACAAGTTATCGGCGTTTGATATGTATCTTACGCAGTGTGCCTTCAACTCGTGCAAGCTCATGATTGAAATCGCTCTGGAATTCGGCGCTGATTGCTTTCAAACTTGCAGCGATGATGACGAAAGCAACAACGAAATGGACGGATCGCAAGTATCGACGACGTTATTCCAGCTATTTAGGGGACTGCTACGGCATTCCAATTGTAGGCAACAACTTCTCACCTACTTCACCACGAGCGACAGCACGCAGTACACCATTTTTCTGCGTCGAATGACTAAGCTATTCACGATGTTCCCCGACAAAGTTATAAGTGTCTCGGGAGAGCTTGAGACAGAAACAACTATCGCTTGCTTCGTGTCGGAGATTTTACTGCTCTTGTTTCAATCTGCAGCGAGAGAAGCCAATGACACTGTGTTGATTGATGAACACGAACTGTTCACTCATTTGCTACCTGCGGTCGTACAACTGGTGTACAGTGACAAGAAAAACATGAACGGACAAGCCGCGGACAATTGTCTCAAACTTCTTCACGTGGTGCTGCTGGATTTTGATTATGACGATGAAAAGGGTGAGTATGAACTCTACGATCCTTTTATACGGTCGATCCTTCTCCCCTACCTGAGTGAAACGCTGAGGAGGCATGACACCATGGACGAGAGCATTTGGAATCTGTCGAGTGAACTGCTCTTCGGGTTGCTTTCGAGCGACACGGCCCTCGTAAGTGAAGCAGAGAGCCTCGATCTTGTGTCGATGATTGTAAACGTGCTCTGCGTTCCAGTAACGTTTACATCGTTACCTTCAAATTCAGTGCAGCTAGTCCAGATACTTATGGAGTCGGCTGACGTAGAATTGGATTCGGCTACACGAGTTCGGCATCGCCCGGAGGTATGGTAATTGGGCTGACACTCGCAGGGAAACAAAAGCAGGTTGACGAAAGCTTGGTAGACTTGGTTGTTATTCTCCTGACTTTGCTTCAACACCAGTTTGAAAAGACTCGTCAGCCAGGAGTGACGCCAGCTCCACCAGGATTCAGCGATCTAGTTGCTTGTGGACCGTTGCTGTTACAGTTCTGTGCTTGTGGCGATGTGACACGACTGATTAGACAGCCGGAAGGTTTGGCACCAGAGGACAAAGCCAAGGCACACGATATGGCTCCTGAAGTTGTGGATGTAGCTTCTCGCTGTCTTGTGCTTCTCTCTCGGGTAAATGACGTGGGGTGGTGTTTCATTACTTTTGTGCCAGGTCTTCTCATTAAACACGTTATGTGGTTGCAACAGCTTTTTTGTGAGCAGTTGAACGCGCCGATGTTCGTACAAAGCAAGACTTTTTCCTCCCTGTCTGACGACAGAGAATGACGGACACATCGCCAAGTTGTATTTCGGTTGTGCGTACAAATCTATCACAAGGACCAAGTAACGTGCTACTTGTTGTTCGTTCGCACACCTGGATCGATCTGCAAATAGACGCGATCGACGACAGGCATCGGCTGCGTGCGCGAAACGTGCTCTCAGATCCATCTGTGCTGCTAGCCAACTTGCTAGATGGCTGAAGACCAGTCACCAGAGTCTGTAAAATAACTATCAAGAGCTGCGTTTACAATCACACTTCCTTCAATGCTACTGAAGCTTTGCCATCGCAACCACAATCGTCTCAGATAGACGATGGTGTGACGGACCGAAGGCTGCTAATCGGCTATCTGTACCAAAGCAGATGCCGAGGCCTCAAACAGCAATCGTGCGTTGTTCTCGTTCTTGATTACTGCAAATCCACCTGAAAAAGCAAGTCCACCTGAAATGAGCGCTTCCGTCTAACTAAATGTTTGCTAGACGAAGCTTTCACGGAATATCTACGCATACTGCTGCTTTGCTTCTGCCCATTGAGCGTTAGGGTGAATTCGGAGGTCCAAGTGCTCCGCAACCTCGTTCAGGTGTGAAGAATCGCCCTCAAAGAGTCCTTTGAAAACCACATTCACGATGTGCTCGGAACGCTCAAAGAGCAACTTGATCTCGTGAGGTGTGTCCGGCACGACGCGCTCGACTAGAATCGCCAAAACCAGACACACTTGGCACGCCACCACAAAGCTAAACGCTCTAACAGTTCCACTTTGGTCTTCAAACAAGTTGGACGTCCATAAAATCAGCGCCGAGTTCGTACCAAGCGCAATGTATGTCATGAACCGTAGAATGTAAAACCACACGCCAATGTCCTTAGCAGGGTGGGGGAATGGCCGGCGGTGCACAAAGCAGAGTTTCACTGCATCAACGTGTACTTCCAGTAAATTGTTAGCCAATGCCAGCAGCGGTGTCAACGGAAAGGCTACTACAAACAGATTGATGAATCCGTACTGAATCACCATCTCGTTATAGTCTTCAAATGCCTCGTTGCTCTCGTACGGCACCAGCTTTGCCTGCTCTTCGATGTTGTTATGGCCAACTTTCTCCTCAGTGCTCGCCGCGTCGCGTTCAGCAAAAAGCTGGTAGCGGTACTTCAAATACGGGACGATCACTTCCGTCGTATTGCCCACCACAATCCGGATCAAGAACAAAGTCAACAACTGGTCACGCAGCTCTTGCATGCAATCGTCTTTATACAGGCAAGAACCCTCGGCCATACGCTTCACAAAAGCGATGTAGAAGAAAGAAGCAAAGGAGTTACAGAACTGGAACAGGAAAACCTTGATAATCAAGTAGCTTTCGTACTCGGCATCCGTGCGGTGGTTTTCAAGGTCATTCAGCTTGCGGGCCACATTTCGGTATACCATATTCAGCACCAAAATTTGAATAGCGTTTGCCACAGTCACACCGAACGTGAGTGTCGTTCGGTACTCTGCGCTGACGTGATGCTTGTCCAAATGATCAGTGCTGTTGATCCAATGCTTGAGCACAAACAACCCAAAAAGAGCGAGAACCACGATTCCGACCATGAGTGTCACAACCAACACGGACACGACAAACGCACGGCGGCGCTTTGTTTTGCTTTCGAACGTCACTTCCTCCGCGTCGGTCACCGGATGGTAGCTCTTAGTGCCACGGAACTGAGGGCGGTAACGAAACGACTCTTGCAAACCACTTAGACCCCAGAGCGAATCCAACAGACCATTCTTGCGCCTCCATAATTCCGAAAACAACGACGACCAGATTACCACAAACACGGCAAAAGCAATGAGGATATAGCCCTGTTCGTTCGTGCCTGTTGCAGCCTGGCGTGCCTCAATGTAAACAAACGTTATAACGCCAGCGATAGCGGGAAAAATGAGCATCTTCGTATAAAATTCCAGCCACGCAAAGTACAGAGCAATCTTTTCTCCAAAATAGTAGCGGATCTTGTGCAACGGTTGGTACAGCATGGTCCAGTGCAAAGCCCATGCGTGCCTTAAATCATGCAACGCGTCTGCGTCATGAAGCGCAAACATCGGGCCCTGCAAGTATCCAGCTGCCTCGAGAGCATCTGCATTAATGTGACGCTCGATAATGCCTTCAGCAAGTCGAAGCCGATCCTTTTGCGTGAACAACGTCTGTTCCTTCTTCCCTCCCCACTTGATCGGGTAGCGTCGATAGTACGGCTGATACTTTTCTTCATAGCGGTATTCCGCAAACGGAGCAAAGTACGTCAACGGATCGTACGGCAACGCAAAGATCGACGTCCAAAAACGACCCCAGCAATTTCCTTGCACGCGACGGTACGTGTGATCATCAACAAACAGCCCATCCGCTTCTTCCGTGTGGCCCCACACATCCAGTGCTTTCCGTAGCTCTGGGTGGAACTCTTCGCCACGGGACACTAGCAACGGATCCATCTCCGGAAACTCGGCATCTGCATCGGCAAAGCCACGTGTGTGTCGCAAGCGATCAATGGACTCGTGCCAGTCTTTGTCGCCCATCTCTTGTCGCATCGTCTCGAGCTTCCCGTCATGAAGCGTCTTGGAGAACGGCTTGTTACTCACTTGCAGTCGATAGTTCGTCCGATCCGCTTCGACCCGCAAGTCATTGTCGTCCGTCTTGATCGTCATCATGACCTCGTCTGCGTCACAGCTCAGGAACAAGCGCGTCGTGAGGCCGCACGCGAGCTGCACGCGGCGAGCGACAGCCGTGGCCACGAGCTCACAAAACTTGGCCTCGGATCGTTGCTTCCCGCGAGCCGATAAACTGCTCGTACTCGTGCTCGAGCAGCTGCTCCTGCATCTCCAGTCGACGCTGTTCACTCGCGTCACTGTGGTCGTGGCTCGTGTCCTCAACAACGGGGCGCCCGCGGTCGTCGAGGAAGCAGCGCGACGTGCGCAGGACGCGCTGGAACGGGTCCACGACGATCGTCTTGGACCGCTGGCTGCGTGCCAAGTCTTTGCCCAGGAACAGACGCACGAAACTGCGCACAGTAAAGTCCTCGGGCTTCTTGAGCTCGCCGCCTTCGCGACGGGGAAAGACCATGACCAGGTCGTGGTCGTACAGCGTCTTGGACGTGACGGGGATCGCAGCGTGTGACGCGGTGGGCGACGCGAGCGCGTCGTACGCGTCCGTCTCGGTCGACGACATGACTCACCGCGTTTCGAACGACTCGAGAGTGATGGTCAGTTCGACTGCGCCTTTTCGTTGCAAATCGGCGAATGACGGTAAAGTGGGACGGAGCGGTACCAAGACGCGCAATGCTGCAACATGATTCGCAGAAATAGTGCAGCGATAGTTAGATGCTGATGCGAAAAACGAGGTGCTGGAAATCAGCTGGATGCGGTGCAGAGGGGTAGGGGAGATCGAGACGAACCCTCGTACGTGACAGGCGATCTGCTTTTTTTTCTCTTTGTTGCTGCTGCAGTGTTGTTGTTCATTGCTTAGTGCTGACCGATCATTATTCGGTAAACGAGAAGTAGAGCATTTGATCAGCCGCTGACCTCATTTTATCAGCTTTAGTAAGCTTGTTTAGTACGAAAGCTTGCAATCAAATGAAATGACAACACGTACCGAAAGCAGAAACAACATTTCAAAAAAAGTGACTTGAGAAGAAGGTCTTGTTAGGTGCTCTGCACGGCTCTCCGTAAACTTTTAATTTTGAGTCGATAGAAACCGTTTCTAAAAGACATGCACACGACCAGAAACACCATCTCATATCATATCTCGCAAGATATCGCTTCTCACAGGAAAAAGCCTCTCACTTGGCATCAGTATCGCGCCCTCTCTACCGCCGGTTAACGTGCCCCATCCGTTGCGGTGGCTGCCCATCCGTCTCCATGGCGACGTCCAGAAGCTTTACGAGCGCGCCTTTGAACGCCTCAGACAGTGCCATCTCTTCCCCGTCTGCTCACGGTAGTAACCACCGCATTCTCCTCGCGACTGAAGCCGAACTCGAGTCATTTCCAACAGCAGAGCAGTTCTCGGATCCTTTTGGTGACGTTTACAGGACTGAAACGGATACAAGGGACTTGATGTGTGGTCTGTGTGACTCGACAGACTCTCCGGCACCAAGTGCAGCTTCGAAAACGTCGTCGTTGAAGTCATTTCCGCCTTTAGTGGCCCCAGGAGGGACTTTGGCGTCCCCTCCGATACTCTTGCCGTCGATCAGCGGCGAAATTGATCCATTTGCAGACATTACACTTAGCAACACGTCTCTATCAGGTGGTGGAGAGGTAGGTGAGAAGGCGGGGCATGTTGCAGGAGCGTTCGAAGACGAACCGCGGTGCAGGGCGGAGGTCATGGCGCCAACGTCGACGTCATCGTCGTCGCGTTTCGATTTGTTGTGGGGAAGTGCAAGCCATGAAATGGATAGACAGGTTTTCTCGAGCTCGACAACGTCACGTGATAGTGCGAGGGGCAGGGCATCGTCGACGGGTAGTACTTTCATGCTCCCGCCTCCGCCGACAATGACGAAAGCGGCGACGTTTCCTATGCCAGGGGCTAGAAACGTTCGAGAGACGAGTGCAACGGATTTGTTGTCATTCTCTCCTGTGCTGACGTCGGCGCCAGCTGATCCGTTCTTTGGTATTGATGACGATACCAGTGAGACGAGTACAGCAGCGCCAGTATTTGAGAACAGCGACATATTCTCTACGACATCAGCGTCGGCGCTATCAACAACATTTTCGCTGGCACCAATGTCTCTCTCTACGTCATTTGAGTCATTGCATGACGATGGGGATACTCTGAGACTCTCTGATGCCACGCCTGGCACTACGAATGGTAAGGCGTCGCCACGCGATCCGTTTGCTAAACACATGACGCGGTCTTTTGGCTCGCTGAGCTCGTCGTCAATCAGTGCGGGGACAGTCGGAGATGGCGGTAGTAAAAATGAAGCTCATTCGCTGTTGCTGCAAGCAGTATCGCCTTCACGTGCCCCTACTTTTTGGCAGGGCTCTTCCAAATCATCGGACGGTTTTGCGGACTTTGAATCTGGCGCTGACAACTTCAGTTTGACGGATCCTTTTGCTGAGGCAGATCTGGCTACTTCACAAGTGCCTCTGCAAGATCACCTTTCGGTTTGGAGCATTGCTGCAGACCTTGCTGACGACGAAAAGGAGGATGAGGATAGTGATAGCAAGCAAACATGTGAAGAAGACAGTAAGGGCACGCAGAAGCCGGTTACAAGTACGTCGGATGACGATATTGGGAACGTACCTATCAGCGATGGTTGCAGCGACATTGACCTAGCGAAAACTACAGAGACGGAAGACTTGGTGGACGCTTTCACGGCCACAATGAGATGCGAGGATGGAGAACGTTCCGACGGTTCTTTCGGAAATGGGCATATGGCTACAGATGTTTCAACCATTCGCTCTGCTGCTGCGGTAGTGCTTAACGAAAGCGATACCCAGACAGCCGATGCAACTGCTGATAGTGAATACAAGGCCCTTGACTTGCGAGACAACATTTTTAGTGACCTTTGTGAGCACAACCGGGATGATGTCGCGTTCACGAAGAGTAAAAATGCTGCCTGCCGAGTGGAGCAAAAGTCGACGGACGCAAGCGAGGGCTCGCTTGAACGTATCCAGATTGGAGCATTTTCGCTGACGAGTACGAGCGCGGATCTGAACACTGGAAGTGCTAGCCCAGCAGAACGCGATTTTGATGATATAACGAATGAAGAAAGCTGTGTACAATCCCGCGATGCACGTAGCATGTCACATGTTGCCTCAATGGACATTCCAATCACTTCGGAACTCCCCGAGGAAACTACTGCACAAAAAGCAAACACGCAGGACGGTCAGATACAAGCCAGAGTAGCGGATAGCGATGACGGCTTTGACGACTTCAATGACTTTGGAGCTGCAGCTGTGGCAACAAGCGTTCCAGACGCGTCGTTGTTTGGAGCGCCGCCTTCACCAGCCCATAAGCAGCCAGCAGACGAAGGGTTTGGGGTCTTTGCTGTGTCCACACCTGCGTCTATGGCTGTAATTGTTGCACCAGCCGACGACGATTTTGGAGATTTTGCGCAAAGCGTAAACCCAAGTGGTGATGACAACTGTTTTGGTGACTTTGGAGACTTTGAGCAGGTCCCTGGAAACACTGAAGACAGTTTCACCGATTTTCAGCAATCGTCTGCAACAGCCTTTGAGGGAAGTGAAGGTGGTTTCGGTGACCCTTTGCTGGCTGTTGATTCTTTGCGAGCTTCTTCTTTATCGAAGGCAGAGTTGTCAACATTCTTTAAAGAAGCATTCCCAGCCGAGCGCTTACCCGCCATTTCGGTCGTCAAGCCGGAGAGCCCAACCGATGCAAAAACTTCTGGTCTCGCGCAAGAATTGCCGAAAGATTTCGTACGAAGCGTATATCGTGGTATGTGGGATGAGTTTATATCTGCAGTAGCGGACTACACGCTACCGCCCCCATCCGGATTGGTAGCGTCTTCTGCAGAATCAATAGTCGATAAAGAGCACGTGAAGAAGAAGACGAAGTACGCATCGAAGTATTTGAAGTATGTGCTGTCGGAAAAGATCCAAGAGGCGTCTAGGCAGAACGGCATTCTCACAAATGGCTCTGAAAGCCATCAGACGTATGTGGATATTGCAGCATCAGGTGACGCCGAGCGCATGTGTGCCGCTCTGGGGGAGTTGCAAGAAGCGTTGTTTCATGGTTCAGTAAACGACGCGATGATGCGGATTGCAAAACAGGCAGCAATATCGGCAAAAGCAAAGATTGCTGAGCAGGCTGCTCAGCAGCATGCGAATTCACGTGGTGGATCCTTGTTTTTTACAACGCGCCACTTGCTATCGCGGGGCGGCAATAGTGGAGGAATGCATGGCCCTGGCAGCAGCGGTACTGACAGTAAGGCGGATCATGCTGTGTCTGACACTCCAACGGGAGCTTCTGTTCAGAAGTTGGCTCGATTCTCGCACGCTGCCGGTCACAACGACTTAGCAAATGGCAACCGCGGTGCAAACCGCGAGGATCGGGTATCGGATGGAAGTGATCACACCGGACATAGTAGTGGAAGCGACTCGGAAGTTGCAGCATCTGGTGTCGAAAATCAGACTCGAAGTCCGACACTTTCGAATAGTGGTGGCAGTAATGGTGGTCTCATGAAGAAGTTCCAAGACCGCTTTTCGTTCACTAGCTCCAGGTATCGTCCGAGATTCGTAAACCTTCGGAGAAAAGGAGAGTCCGGGGAGGAAGTCCGCAAGATGGAGCTCAACCTGGATGCTATTAGTGGAGGCCTCGACGAAGTGAAGTGGAAGTGCGCTTTGTTCTTATACGACGTCGACGAGGTCACTCACGTTGCGCCTTCACAAATTTGCATTGTGGCGTATCCAAGTAAACAGCCGCTATCAGGCAAGAGCGATCGGAGTGCGCTGACGAAGCTGGTGAAGCCTGGTACGATTTGGACGATCGATATTGGCTCGAACAACAGCGATGTGTTGAACGAGTGGTGAGAAGAAGAATAGATGAAAAGAGGTCGTATTTAGATGTTGTGGAGGAGTGGGTCGTGTCAAAAAGCTAGTTCCCGCGACGGGTGCGCAATCAAATGGACGAAAGGGTTCACAGCATACAATCATGATGCTTACAATGAGACTGGGAGACAAAATGCGCAACTAATGTTGGATAAGTGAGAGATGAAACTTGGGTCGGTAAGACGGGACTTGCCACTGCGTGAATTTAGTTTCCATGATGTAATTTGAGGCAAACTATCTGTACGATCAAGACGTGATTTTGCGTCAGTGTTGAACGATGTATTGGTCGAACTTTGAAATGCTGTACGTCTGGATGCGAAAATGCCGCATCCAGACGTACAGCGCCACTGCGAGTTTGTGCGTGGCTTGGACATTTGTCTTTTCGTAGACAGCTTTGTGGCTTCATGTTGTACGATTATGACAGCTGGTTGTATGGAAATTCTCGAATGGACCGCTAGGTCGCACTACTTCGGGATTATACGAAACAACTCGCTCGATGAATTCGCAAGTAGCAATCGACAGCGGTAGCAGATCTTTGCAATAGAGCCGACAGGACAACCGGCTTCCCGGACGCTACACATGAATGCGAGTATTTGGGTACGTTCGTGCGTTGTTCTTACGCTTTGAAGTCGATTTGGGGTTCTCTACTCTCGGCTCTTGCTACACAGACGTTGTTACAGCAAGCCCGTTTTTTCTACGTGGACGTGTTTCTCGATGTGACTTTGGCACGAAACTTCCGGGAGCTACCGTCAGCACAAGGTCAGTTCAAGATGGCAACGTTATACACATGGCGTGAGTGGGCCTTTGGTTCAGCAAAGCGCAAGTCGGAGCTTTTTTTCGCAAGTAGCGTATTGAACGGTGATACGCAACAAGAGCGCGAGGAGGCACCAACTAAGTGCCAAATTTAGGCTACCGAGCTCAAGCTGGTGTACCGATTAAGCTCGTCTACCGGGACAGTCGGGTTGGCGCTTGCATCACAAACGAATGGAGCAGTGGAGTGCTAATGGCAACAGAGTGTCAGTGGCTGGAGTGAGTATGTTGATTTGGTGCATCTGCTGCTGCGGCACAATGACCGGGAAGAAAAAATGGAAGTGAGGCAGATGATAACGGGATCTGGATGAACAACGAACTAAGAAACAGAGAGACAAAGCAACTTGGTGCAGATTCATCGTGCGATGTTGCTAACGAGCTCGCGGTCATTTCTTTCGCCTGGTTTTTTTGTCGAGCAAATACGCGTGGCGTACCGGATCACGCTGGAGGACCAGGGTGTTCTGTCTTGCGCTTCTTGTAAACTTTCACTCACGGCTCGGGAGCATGGAGGGTGTTTCGGGGATATGTCATCTCTGCAGTGAGAGGCCACGCCGCTGTGGAAGAAAACAATGGCCCATTGCGAGGCAAGACGACGTTGAGCGTCCTGTCATCATGGTGTGTGACGTCATTCACGAGGAGGAGTCGAACGCAATGCATTCGTTTGGATCTGCATGGGACTTTTGTCACGATTGCGTGATTTGCAGTTATGTGCTTGACATTGGAACACGTGTTGGATTTGTATCTTGTGCGAGTTTGCAAGAGCTGCACTTTAGCCACGAAGAAGAAATACGCTGGTGATGGCGCGCAAGCCAAGTTGGCTGTAGTACCAGGTAAGGAACGGCCCAGCGACGGCCACCTGGTGTGAAATTTCTGTAAGGACCACACATCGAAGTGGCCTTGGGTCAAAAAGGAAGAGTGGTCGGTGACAACTGCTTTGCGGCGAGACATCAGCTACCCTTTACACGCTTTACTTTCACGAGCCATGCAAGTAGACGAACATTGCACGATACCTGTGAATTATTACGGCACTTGAAGTCGGTGCAGCGATCGGAGAACAGCGGCAGTCACGATGCTCATCAACATTTCGAAGTTTGAATACCTTTGACCTAAAGACACCGTTGCTGAATACGAGGAGCGTACATCCGACTACAAGTACGTGTCGTTTGCTAGTGTTGCAAGGCTTCTATGATGCGTGCTTTAATGTGCTACGTGCTACTACAAAATAGTGTTTACGTTTGTCAATGCAATACTTAATGACTACCCGCCAGGTGAAATGGATGCTGCACTGGCAGGTATGAACGATAAGGCTCTACTCGCTTTCTACTTTTTGTGCTCTTCTTCCACAATATCAGAAATAAGCGACTATGCGTCTGTCATGTACAAGAAAGAGCTAGGTACAAATGTGAATGATACCTTGATCACGTGTTGTGCTTGTTCGAGTTACACAAAGCGATTGGGTCAGCACCAATTCATGCCAATGAAGGCCCAAAACCAAGCCACCAGTCAGTGTACTCTCTTTCGTCCTTCAGCGCACCAATGACTCACCACGTAAACATGCCTTAGCGACTGCATGAACATAGGCAGAAGCCAGACCATTCTCGCTTCTCTCTCATGGCCGCACTTGACTCACAACGTTTCGCCAAAGCAAGGGCATTCAGTGACTCACGTCGTAAAAACTCCATCTTGACTGTACTCATTATCAAGTCCGGATCCGGGTCTTCTTGAATTTACTGATCCACGATTTGAGGATCCTGAAAGCGCCGACCGCACAAAGGTTTTCCTGGCAAGAAAGCCATCTGATACACGACGACATCGCTTACTTTTTCCAGTGACGCACTCGCCAGCAGCTAAATTACAACGACGCCGTAAATGGTTGGGATCCCTTTTCTTAAACTCTTTCAGATAGCCAAAGAATTCATTAAGCTTGAGGATCTCTTCTTCGTTGTCACGTGTTGGTTTCTCTTCTTCGCTTGCTAGACTAAACATTTCAACGTAAAAACTGATCAGGCTCCTCGCCATACTGCATGCCACACTGGAAGCAACTCCGGTAGAGAATCTAACACTACTTTCGCGAGCACTATCTGTAAACCATCCGTGCTGCCCTTTATACCACCGACAACTCATAACCAATCGAGATACGCCACCGCCTGCTTTTGGCTATTTTTATGAACAAGCTTTCAACCAAACTCTCGTCGGTGTATTTTTCGTTGGTCGTAAGTTCTACTGGTCCACACTCGAAAATCCACACCTAAGGATCGGAATAGAGAACGATCCCTTTTTCTCCTTCCGTGAGGCTTGTTGTCGACATTCTACTCGATCCAGTGGGCAGTGTAACGGGGCACCCTGAAGCTTGTACTGGTGACAGTACAAGCTACTTATTCTGATAACAGAATAAGGCGGTGCCTCGTAACTTCACGTACACTCGTACGTGCAGAGGAAGACGGTAAGAAGAAGCGAGTACTTGGTTAGAGTAAAAAGTAGAACTGTATTTATAATAGTTAATGTCTGCAATAAATCACTATTTATCTTCATCTAACTATGTCTAAATACAAATGTGTAAATCAGTTATCTGCTCACCACTCATTGCGTGCGTCTGTCGTGGCGCGTCTTCGTTGGTTGATATAATGGCCTATATCAACCAATTAGGAACTACTTGTAAGTGCTACAGAATATTTGTCCTTATGACAATATTCTGAGAATATAACTCTTATAGTTATATTCTATTAACAATTTCTTATAAATTGTTATGTAACGATTCACCCCGTTACATCACCCCCCTTAACCATCAGTCACTTTAGTGACTGATTGACTAAATGGATACTCGTCCCAAATCATTTGGGACAGGGTTTGCACTTGTTGGTCCGCGTCCACTTTCCAACATTTCATCGCATGGTTAACAAGCCCATGCGATGCGCGAGCAAGGCCGCCGAGAGCGCGTCTGCACGTCTCTGTGCGGACGCCGAAGCAGAAACTACAGCAACTGATGTCCCATCGGTTGCTGAAGCGACCCAGCCTGTGTCACTTGGTGATGCAGGCGCTGGTCATGAAGACACTCGTGTCTTCACAGAGTACGAGCTCGGTGTCTCGTACTCTCCTGATACGGATGACGGATCCGTATCGACGGCGATTGAATCCAAGCCGCCTGCCAAGCGTGGCATGGACGATGCTTTGCGCCGCAGCATCTTTGGTTCATCTGATGAATCAGATGAACCATCGCCAAAGCGAAGGCGCTCGAGGTCGCGAGACTCGGGCGCTATTGGTGGTGTCGGTTCTCCTATGGACACCACTTCGCAGCGAGGTGCCAGTACTTCTGTCGGCACGTCGCAGGAAGAGCGGGACCGCAATGTGTTGCGTCTCGCTCCAGAAAAGAAGGCATGGATGCCTCCGAAATCCGTCATGGATCACTCGTCGTCGCCGACAAGTGATCGTTATCGAACACGATTGTTCGATTCGTCAAGGATCCATCACCTTGACCCCAGCGCGAAAGACTATCGCGCTGAACATGAGTTCTTCATCGATGCTTTCTTCAGACATCGATGGTACAGTGGGAATCACAAACGTGATGGTCCCTCACTACTTCAGGCGTGGAACGCCTACATCCATAACCTCGAGGATGTAGGTCGTGACGCTTGGAACGACAAACTTATCAAAGCTCGTGATAAGTTTGAAAAGCGAACCCCGACAGGTGCACGCTACAAGCTGCATCGTCTGTCAAGGGAGAAAGGATTACCCTGCCTCTCTTGGGGAGACTCGTGCCCATGTTGTGTGAACAACTCTGCACGAGCACCTAAGGAGGCTTACCTCCTTACCAGCCCGTGGTGGCGCGTACGTGTCTCTACTGAGATGTACGAAGGGATTGACAACCTGAAATCCCTTTACGACCGTGCCGGGAAGACTTTCTCCGGCGGTCCTTCTGCGGCACAGGATGTGCCGCGTCGTACTGCCTCGACCAGACCCAGTACGTCAACCATCAATTGGGAGCGGGGCTCCCAAGAATCCCAGGACGGGGGATAGTTGGCGCCACCGGACGAGGTAACTCGTCCGACGTCCGTTCACGTCGCGGTGGTTCAACAGCTGCTCAACTAGATAGCGCTGGCCACCGCGAGAGTCCTCTAATGGAGGTGGAGGAGGAGGAAAGACGCTCTCCACACGATCATGTGGATCGGTGTGTTCCCGAGAGCTTCTTTGATCGCGTAATGCAAGGGTTACGCGACGATCTCGAGCATGAGCGGAATAGACGTCTCCAAATGGCGGACACTGCCTCGAAGCATCGAGCTGAGTTTGCCTTTGCTCAGCTCGAGAACGAGAGAGCTCTGACATCTCTTCGTGACGAGCTAAGGGTAGCTCGTGGGATTGTTGATCGGTCTCGGGATGAGGTAGCTGCTCTTCAGACCCTTGTTGATGCCCACCATCGGGAGCACTAAGCTCTCTGTGAGATGCTTGAGCGCAAGGGCGTTCTTCATCGGAAGAAGCAGCGTACTGATGGTATGGCTTAAGCCGACCAACGTAAAACGTGGGATGCGTTCGCATCTTACGTGGTAACTCGATCGTGTATGCATTGCCTAGGCGGTGCAATACACGAAATGGGCCAATGTACTTGGGTAGTAGTTTACTGCTACCCAAGTTAGTCACTACATGCTTTGGTAGATTAACCGTAGACAGTAGGACTAAGTCACCTTTATTAAATAAAAGAGTGTTTGCCCTTCCATTCTTGTCAGCGTTTTGCTTTTGCTTATCCACCGCTTCGGCGATGGAGTCTTGCACAAAACGGACTACCGTTTCACGAGCCAGTATGAACTCATCTGATGACTCGTTAGCTTCAGTGTGCTGTGAGCGCACTGCAGCAACAACAACCTTTCTTCAGTGAGGGCTTCCGCACTCTCACTGGGATCATTGTCTTCAGTGAGGGCTTCCGCACTCTCACTGGCATCATCTTCTTCGATATCGATGTTATCGATATCGGCATCAAACGCAATGACTTCTTCGTCAGAGCGTGATGAGCGTGAACCAAATCGGTTTTTGCTCGCGCGAGTCCCTCCCCCCTTAAACCATAGTTACACTCTAGTAAGGTGGGTACACGCGGATGGCGCAAGCCATTCACGTAAAACGGTGTATGTGTCGTGGACGCATGCACCGAGTTGTTGATGGCAAACTCTACCATTGGCAAAAACTCACTCCAACTCTTAAAGGAGTGTACGTATCCTCGAAGTTTCTCTTCAAGGACACGATTGGCACGTTCCGTCTGACCATCCGACTCTGGATGATCAGATGTTGACATCTTCAAGCGCGTTCCGAGTGATTTGAACACGGAACGCCAGAAATCAGCAGTGAATCGTGGATCTCTGTCTGATACGAGTTCACGGGGCAACCCATGAAGTCGGAAGATGGTGTCAATAAAGACACAAGCACAGCCACTTGCCGTGATTGTCTCTGGTACAGCCACAAGGTGTACCATTTTGCTGAATCTGTCAACAAATACGAGAATACCCGTATTCCCGCGTGCGTCTTTGGGTAACCCTGAAGACGAAATCCATTGAGATGGATTCCCAGCACTCAGCCGGAACCGGTAGAGGCTGTAAAGGTGCACGCAGTGAAGGACTTGACTTCACTCGTTGGCAGACTTCGCATGCGCGAACATACTTTCGCACAAACTGATACTGGCGGGGCCAGTAAAAGTCTCGACTTACCGTGAGATATGTTTTCTCTCGGCCACGATGTCCTCCTATAGGAGCATCGTGATACTCGAACATGATCCGCAAACGCAGATCAGTATCATCTGGAATGACAACACGTGGTGTGTCACCAGAAACGGCTGTATAGTACAGTAACCCGTTACGAGTAGTGTATCGATCTGATGCTGATCGA